CTTAACTAACCATCAACTCCTCTGGGCACCAGAGACCTCCATCCCAGCCTGGGCTCTGCTTGGGTGGGCAAATAGGACCCCTGCTTTCCTGAAGGAGCCCACTCTAGCCAGGGCCCTCGGCTTCCCGTTCTGTGAGACACTGAGTCATTTCCTCTCTCCAGCTCTCACCTTTGAGCCTTCCTTTTCCCTTCTCTGGAGCAGTGACTCACTGCTGAAGTGTTGGGTGACAATGAATATCAAGGATGGGCGATAAAAACACTCCCGATTGTGCAACTTGAGGATGCGGGGATGTATTTTGGACGGGGAATTCAATGGGCTGGCCATGAACTTGAGGCTGGGGAGTCAACAATGAGCATGGCTTCATCTCTTTGGGGAAGTGGAGCAGAGAATGGAGTTCAAACACATTCACTGAGCTGGATTTGCTGTGGAGCACCTTGTTTTACCCTTTCAAACGTGTATTTCTGAGAAAGGCAAATAAAGGCAGGCACTCAGCACGACACACGGACATCACAGAGGTCGGGGTCTGTCTCCTCAGCTCTGCGGGGCCTGGCAGAGACCCTGAGAGCAGGCCTCTTTCTTTCTGGGCTTTTCTCTCCAGTGAAAAAACTATACTTCCCGAGCTTGGGCGGGATGAGGGAAGACAATGTGACAGATGCAGCTCCGGGCTGGCCACTGCATTGATGCCATAGACCCCTGAGAAGCGGGTTACTGAAGATCGCCCTGCGTGTGAGCAGCAATAGCAACAGCCCAGCTATTTTCCCAGATGGAAACTCACCTTCTTTCACCCAGCTCACTGGATGCAAACTAGATATTTTCTTCTCCTAATTAACATTCATGGCTTTGAGGATGAGCAAAACAAAACACATTTTTTCCTAAAGGATGACTCCCTAGTCAGGTCACAAGCTATTCAAGATTCGGGAAGAGAGGCAGCAAGGTCACCCCACCCAGGAGGCCAAACAAATGGGAGCAGAAACATCCATAAAAGTGGAGAGAAATTTATGTGTGGGTATGTGTGTCCGTGCTGGAGGGAGGGTGCAGCTGAGAATGTCACAACAGAATTCAAAACTTTAATTCTCTGGGAAATTAAGGCAAAAAGAAAAAAAAAAACCACCTTAAAAACTATTGGTGCAAGTCCAGACGACCAAGAAACTTGGATCAGCAAGGATGGTTAGTTTGCTTTTTAAAGGTGCCTCAACTACAAAGAGTTTTTCCCACGGTCAGGAACCTGTGTATACACACACACCTGAGTCCCTCTGATCCACAGGCTCCCAAAAGGTCCCCCCACCTCAGTCAGTGAGTCGCTGGCAGAGGGAGGGGGAGGTCCTGGGACACTGCTGCAGGTTCCCGGCATCAGACTAACAGTTAATAGAAAAGCCAACGTCCCCACATGGTGCACTGGACACTCACATCCTCCGACACACTGTAGGAGGCTGGGAGCTAAGGCCAGACTCCGTAGAACTGCATGTTTAACCGTAGAACTGCATGTTTAACCGTAGAATTGCATGTTTAACCGTAGAACTGCATGTTTAACCGGCAACCTCAGACAGGGAAGACACCCAGTGACTTTCCCCCCAGGTCCGTCTCTAAGCCAGGCTCTCCTTAGTGGCACAAAGGAACTATTTCTCATGCTTCCTAGACTCACTCGGGCAGGCTGTGGGAAGGAAGGTGCCAGCCAAGCCCAAGGCGGCTTTTCTCTACTGATCACCTTGGGGAAAGGCAGATATAAACTCCACGGCAGGAACGCAAGGGTGTGAAATGCTGGAAGGAGCCCCTTTCCGGGAGGGCGGTGGGCGGGGGCTGGCAAGGGCTAGTGGGAGAGGAGCAGGTTGCCCAGGGGGGTCTGCCTTTCTGGGAAGCAGGAAGTAAGGCCTCAAGGAAGAAAGAAAGAAATCCCTAACTTCTGAGGTGGTGGAGGGGCCACAGATAGGGTTGGTTTTGTTTCTGAGCATGAAGAAAAGGCTCTGTGTCAAAAAGTAGCTCTGGTATAAATGAGCCAATTATGACATAGACACAGCTCGTTATTTCTGGGATTTGGAAGCAGGAGCCTGACGGAATGTCCTCTCCAGGGTTAAATATGCAGAGTACGCTTCTAACTCCAGGACTTAGCCTTGCCCTTGATGTCATGTGAAAGGTCTCTCTTTGTGCTCCAACTAGTTAGATAAGAGCCACCAGTGAGGGTTACCACCTCAGAGACCGTCTTGTGTGTCCCTCACGGGATCCCCACTCATGGGGTGAGGAAGATCACACTGTATTAATGGCTAATAGCCCGCCATAAGCTCCACCCTGGTATAACCGTGAGCAAGTTGCTCATTAGCCTCTCTGTACCTCAGTTTCCTCATCTGTAAGATTATCTACTTCTTAGAGTGACTATGAGGATGAGCTAAATTCAGATGCTATAAAGCACTTGGAACATCACCTGGCACATACTAGGTGTGACTGAAGAGTTAGTTGCTATTGAGGCATGAAAAGAGCAAGTACCTGATTCCCCAGGTAGGCCAGGGCCCAGCTGCCAATGTCGGGCTCCATCAGCTCCTCTGAACGGCAGCTTCCTCAGGCCACATTCAGACCCAGGAAGCCCATGCATCTGAATGCCCCAGCCCAGAGGGCCAGACTAAAGGGAAATCAGACCTGTAGGCACAATAAGGTCCCTGCTGGCTGCTCCCCGCCTCCTCCCAGGGAGGAGCAAACACTGGTGCCAACACATTTGGGATTGGCTTTCTCAGTTGCAAGCCATGTGGTTTATCTGAAATGGGGTCAAGTCCCAGAGTGGGAAGCACAATATTACAACTGTGCTTGCTTATCTGAACCAAGTCCATCATCGCTGATCATGAGATAATAGGGAGCCAGAGTCTTGAGAGACTGGAGGGGTGTGTTGGAAAATATTCTTGGCAAAGGAGGAGGAACCATTTCTCAACCAATTGTTAACAAATTAGTAACCGGCACTGAGAACCTCAGAGGAAAGGTTCCGATTCCCTCCAAACTGCAGATTCTGGCACTTGGGAGACCTGACTGGGTACCTGAGCTGCAGGAAAGGGAGGTACCAGAGGGCTGGCACCTCTGGTCTATTCCTACCCATCTCTATGCATCTCAGGTCAAAGGGTGGAGGCTGCAGCCTCTGTCTTATATCTACAGACAGCCCTTGGACCAGATCTGATGCCCACTGCCTAGTCTGAAGGAGCGGTATGTGTGCATCTAGAAACCCAAAGACTTGTGCCTCCTTGCAATGTTTGGGGGCCATACCAGCTGGAAGTATGCCCAAGACGGGAAGTGAGACCTCAGACCTATATCAGCTATACAAGAGGGGCAAGTGGGGTGTCTCCACAGGAGTCCCTGCCCTTCTGCCTAGAAAGCTGAACCTTCCAGAGCTGGAAGGGCCATCTGGGCTAAGACTGTCTGCAAGTTATAGGCAATCTGCTTGAGTCTTTAAGCCTCCAAGTACCTCCAGGCCTATCACCAGGGCTTGGGGGCCTAGAAGCCAAGCTCAGGGCACAAGGAGTGTGGCCAGGGAAAGGGTCCAGATTCACAGGTGGAGAGGCTCCAGATGCCACACAACCCAGCCTGGCCATCTGCTGCTGCCAAGGGAAGATCATGGTGCCTCAAGCCAGCTACTTCAGGGTAACTGGCTGGAGAAACCTACTGGCTGGAGTTGAAAACTGCTCTGAGGCAGCAGTGGAGGCTTCTCCTGGCACTTGCCAAAGAGCTCAGTTCTCATGGCTTCTGCACGGTGAGCCCCCTTGGGCAGGCCTGTCCCCAGAGCAACTCTCTCTCCTCCACAATCTGCTCCCAGCATCAGCACTAACTTAACTAGCTAGGCCTTCCTGTTCCATCCCTGTCAGCTCCTTCCCCTACTTGTTACAATTCCAGAGTGCCTTCAGGGTCCACAGCTCATGTTCTTCCTCCTCTGAGAAGCCCTCCCTAACTACTCCTGATCATGCTGACTTGTCTTTTCTGCAGGGTATTAAATCACTACCACTCCCGGGGCTTGTGGATGAGCATCTGGAGCTAGAATACAAAGAAGTAGCTATTTCTAAAAAATTGCATAGACAGCCAGACTCACACCAATTAGCTAATTAATTAATTAAATTGTTCACGTGTCCCTAAAAGAGTCTGTACCCCAGATGGACCCCTGGGTCTTGAGCCTGCCACACAGCAAGTGTGTAATAAAGACTTTTGAGAAGGAGGACAGATTACACTGGTCTTGCAGGAGTGAGCTGCTTCCTTTTTAGTTCAGAGCACAGCAACTTCCTCCCTGGCAGGCCAGGTTCCTGCTCTGGCCTGCCAGCTCCCAGGTATCCCCTGCCAGCAGCTATTCCCTAGAGCTGCCCTGGGACTAAGAGCAGAGGGGGATGCCCAGCTCCAGCCCTACCCACCATTTGTCCCCTCTCAGAGGAAAAGAGGTCAGCAGGAAACGGATCTGACCTTGGGGTGGCCACAGTCTCTCCCAAGGGCTATGGAGGCCCCTGGATAGGCAGCAGAGGCCTGCAAGGGACTTCCCTTCCCTGCCCTGGGCCCCATGGAAGGCAGGCAGGAAGAAGGGCCTCAGTAGCAGGCGTCCAGTATGGGGCTGGCCAGACAGTGAGGCCCCTGGGGTTGCAGCTATCAGCCGGAGACCAGGCTCCAGGAAGGAAGGAAGGGCAACTCTGGTCGAGGCTGAGATAAGGGGGAGCCGTGCTCAGCACAATGGGCTCCCACAAGGCTGGGAGGCCCCAACTCAGATTTTGCCCCAATTTGGCCTCCCGTCTGCTCACACAGCCCATATAAATATTTACTAATGTTTATATTCCTGCTCCGCTGGGTCCCCTCTGAGGCCCTTTCCTATCTATGACCCACAGATCCGTATTCCCCAGACCCTGGGCCCATCCAGCAAGGGCTATCAGCATTGTTCTCTCTCATGCAAGCCACAGAAACAGGCCCTTCAGGACAAAACTGTCCCCTTGTCCCAGCCCTGGGACATTGCTAACAGGTAGCTGTACTAAGCCCCGCTGTGGTAGGGAACTTACGGGGCCCGGTCATGGGTGAGGCCATTCTGCCGCTGAGGGTTGATTGGTGGAAGGACGGGTTTGCTGTTGATCTCAAGTCCTCTCCTCAGGGTCTCCCGGATCTGCTCCGTGTCTGCAACAACACCACTAAGTTGTCTAGTGGTCCTTTGGACTCCCAGCATCCCCCAACCCGGCCCTTGGAACCGGGTTCTGTAGACATGCTGGGGAAAGGCCCCCATGAAGGCCTCCTGAGCCTGCTCTAGGCATCAGCTGCGAGATCTGAGTGGGTGCAGCGTGAGGACACAGGGCTGATAAGGCATCATGTTCTCAAGAAACTTTTGGTCTGAAGAGGCCATTCTTGTAGAAGACAAGGGGTGGCCTCCAAGACAGGGCTCTTCTCCACTGTCCTTTCCCTTCCTGAAGTTAGGCGCCAGCTCTAACTTTAACATAGTTCCAGGCAGTGACTCCCAAGACCATCCACAGATTCTGCCCACTGAAATGGGTGCCCGTAAAGGCTGTAAGTGCCCTGCCATGAATGGTAAGGTGTCTCTTACACACATTTCTGGATTCTGAGTGGCCAGCTGGTATGTGGTCCTGCCACTCCTTCCCTGTGGGCTGGGTCAGTGAGATGCTGAGGTCATCTCCCCTTGGCCCAGGTACCCTGCCTCTCCATGAGTCTGGCAAAGGCCAAGAGATGAGAAAGGAGTCCCGGGTGGGATTATTTCTTTGCAAGTTGCTTTGCTGGTCTTTGGGTGAAGCCTACTAGCCTGATCCCCTATATTGATATTCTGGCCTAAGACTTACCTCCACAAACTACAAACACATACAGAAAAGCAAATTAACATCAGCTGCTCAAAGGATGGGCTTGGAGTGGATGATGGAGGTGATTATTAACTTTTCTAATGGTTTGACTTGTTATAGTAGCATGGATTACTTTTATAATTTAAAATAATATCCAATGATGGTGAAATTTTGGACAAGATTATGAATTCCTCCTTAAATTACCTCTTTTGTCAAAAGTACTGAATGATTCCAGTAATTGTATATGTTCTCTTGAAACCTCCCATGGGTTTGGCACAGATATTGGGTCAGATATTCGTGTTAGGGTTTTAAGTTGTCCTTTATGGGAAGAAAACCTTTCATAAGTGCTATCACATATGTAGGCATTTTATTCAGGACTGTGGGTATCTTATTCTTCAAAAAAATGAAGAAAAATGGAGGAATAGAGAAAAGAAGCAGAAAAGAAGCTGTATATTTGTAAATGGCTGCTTTTCTTTTGGAGTTAGTTATGGATGCTCTTTGCTAAAAACCACAACTGTTTCTATAGCCAAGACCAACATGATGAGCTTCCAACAAGAGAGCCATATCCTCCTCCATGGCCTCACCTGGAATGTAATGGGCACAGGGTCCCCTCCCACAGCCCCTAGCACTGTATCTGCAGGACAGTGGGGCAGGGAAGTTTGCAAGCTGGCCTCACACTCAAGCCTCTCTGGTCTAAGGCCTGAGGCCAGAGTGATCCTCCGTCTGGCATGGCTTTCAGGCCAGAGCTGGGCCCTGAGTCAATTCCATGGGTAGCCGATGCTTGTTCTCTTGTACTTGGGTGGACTGTGGCCTTTTCCTGTAACTGTTCTATGGCTTCCACTCACCTCCATGACCTCAGATTGCAAGGGATAAATCTAAAACACAATGGTCACTGCTGGTGGTACATTTGAAATACACACAAAGGGAACAGGAGAAATGGGTCAGCAAAGCTCCCTTAATTCCACCCTGCTGGAAGACTTCACATGCTGTTTAAATCCTGCCAGGAAAGAAACTATTGAAGGGGCTGTTTATGTCAGAGACCCATCCTACAGAGCCTGAAAACCAGGCCTGGGGAAAGAGAAGGAAGGCTGGGTGAGAGCTCCTACCTTTGCCAGAGAGCCGCCGGGGCTGTGTGCCTATGCAGATGCTTCGGCTGTCTTCGTCATCCTCAGGGGGCCGGCTCAGGTCATCCCAGGCACACTTGGCACTGACACCACTTAGATTGGAACCGTCCGTCTCGATGCCTTTGTCAACTCTCTCCTGCTTAGAAAGAACCAAAGAGCCAGAGTTCCTTCAGCGAACCGGTGGCCCAAGGTCAACACTGCCTTTCCAGTATTTACTGAGCCCCTGTAGGTGCTGAGCACAGGACAAGTGCTAGAAGAGCAGGATCTCTGGCTATCACACACAGCAGTCTCTGCCAGCCACAGGACTCCTCCAGGGGAACCAGGGATTAGGGGAAGCCAGGAAGAAGAAAAATCCCAAGGAAGCTTCTCTTCTATCATCAACCTTCAGTAAAAAGGCCTTCACACCTGTTTCAAAGCCTCGGCTCTGCTCAACCCATGCAGGCCTGTGTTGCTAATGTGGCAGAACCAGGAACTATTTCCCTAAGGAAAAGCACAGTCCTTCCTCTCCTCCCATCATCCAGGAAGAACCTCCTCAGTTGCTACTACAGAGAACGGGATGGAAGCTGGCACGGGTGGGAGAGGCCAGGACTCAGACCAGCTTCTCCCTGGCTCCACAGCTGCAGTTTCCTCTTCTAACAGCAGGGGGAGTGGTCACCGTGAAGCACCACCACAGAGCAGAAGGGCAGGACTTCCTGCACTGCTAACTTGTTTGACAAAGGACTCTGGACGAAGTTTATTTCCATTTCTTCGAATGAAATGGGTTTCTGGAGGTCAGTGACCATCTGCAGGCCTCACGTGAGGCTCTGCCTTCGTGCAGGCCTTGGCACTGTTGAGTCCAAACACCCTCCAAATGGCCTTGCCAAATGGCCTTGAGGAAGAGTCATGACCAAACACCCCACCGCTGGGGTTTCTGGTAAAACACAGTTTTGTGATGTTGGGCTTTGGATTAAAGGTCACCTGGAAGGCTCTAATAATCTCGCTCATAAACAACCATGTGGGCCAAACAAAGCTCCTGAGTGAGCACCTCAATAAGAGTCTGCACGCCCTTCTCTCCAGGCCTCCACGGGCACCATCTGGCTGCTGGGGAAGCACAAGGTAAGCTTACATACTAGTAAGGTCCTTTTTCTTGAGACCAGGCCTTTCTCTGTATGCCTCCCTCCCATCAATCACACTCTCCTCCTTTCCAGTGCTACCACTAGCCTGGGCAAAGTTGGGCTTCTGAGCAGTGACAGGGACAGGCTGATGAAAGAGAGCAGCTCTGTGCTCCAGGCAGGAGCATGTGGGCCCCCGTTTGCTTAGGGTAGAGTCTGACTTTTCCCCTCTCTCTAGTGGCCACCCTAAAGCCCCTTACTGACGCAAAAAGCTAAGAATACCTCCTGGCTCAACTAGCTAAGACCACTTACTTTATAAGTAAAAAAGAAAGAGTGAAGACCTGGAGAAGTTAAGGGACTTGTTTAGGCACACACCTAGCCAGTGGTAGAGCTTGGAGCAAAGGAACAGGAGCCAACCTAAAATGAACCACTTGCAAGCAGGCCCAGACCGGCACACATGAGCACAGAGGAGTTCCCACTTGGCACAGAGTCACCAGGAAAAAAAGCTGGGCTTTCTCATCAAGGTCTGCCTGCTTACTTTTATTATTATTATTTTTTAATCCTCACCCGAGGATATTTTTCCATTGATTATTAGAGAGAGTGGAAGAGAGAGGGAAATATAGAGAGAAATAACGATGTGAGAAAAGCACATTGATTAGTTGCCTCCTGCATGAGTCCTGACCAGGGTCCAGGCCAGGGAGGAGCCTGCAACCGAGGTACATGCCCTCGACCGGAATCAAACCCGGGATCCTTCAGTCCGCAGGCCAATGCTCTATCCACCGACCCAAACCACCTAGGGCTGCCTGCTTACTTTTCAAGACGACTAGGGCCTGGCCGGTGTGGCTCAGTGGTTGAGTGCTGACCTATAAACCAGAAGAGTCATGGTTTGATTCCTAGTCAGGGTACATGCCCAGGTTGTGAGCTCCATCCCCAGTGTGGTGCACGCAGGAGGCAGCCAATCAATGATTCTCTCATCACTGATGTTTCTTTCTCTTCCTCTCCCTTCCTCTCTAAAATCAATAAAAATATATCTTTTTAAAAAAACACAAACAACCCCCTAGGTACTCTTGGTCCTGCTAGCTGGTTGAGGGGGAGCCTAAAGATTAGGAAGAGAACTATTCTTGGCATGCAGGAAATGATAGGCTGCTTATTACCCTATTAGTTCAAAGGACCAGGTTCTTTCTCAATACTTGGCACTTATGATAGGGGTAAAACAACAGCCCACAGTGTCCCATGCTGGATCCCAGTGTGGCTGTAGTACAAGGGTTTAGGGAAACATACCCTTAGTGGTTCCTGGTTCTTGCATAAGCAGAAGTTACAAGAAAACCAAGTTTAAAGTAGAGATAACAGAGGATCCTGGCAGCAATTTGAAAACTTCAGTGTTAAAGGCACTAGGAAAATGGAGGAGCATCATCTGTGGATGAGTAGGGTTTCTACCCAAGAACTGACAGGTCTGCAGTAAAGAACGCAGGGACTGCTGGCTATGTGTCTGCCTCTTCCCTTCCACCTCCTATCCCTCCTGGAGGACATGTAACTCCTGCAGCTGCCTGTGTCCTACCAGATTTTCACAGAAGCAATGACCTGCAACTGGCCGGGGCAAAGTAGAGGCAGACAATGCCAGGCACATTACAGCTATCTGCTGCTCCTGCTTCATAAGCAACCAGTAAGAAAGGAAGTTATGCTTTATGTGGCTTTCAAAATTCACCTGCCTGCAAAAAAGAGTGCTTCTTCTAAAAAATCAAAGATGACACTGAAACTCTATACAGCCAGGCCACATGAGTGGCAACTGCAGGCCTATGTGTACGAAGACTTCCTTTACACATCAAGAAATTCCAGCCTACCCAGGGAAGGAGCTTGGTACCTGACTGGTCAAGATGAAAATGTATCTAGAAAGGGATAAGACCATTAGACCAATCAGGACTCCCCACTGCAACATGGCTGTGACATCACCGATTCTGTCTGTTATAGGATATTGGTGACAGTGGTGGCATGGCTCCCTCAAAGAAAGTCTATGTTCTTTATAGAAGGGGAAGTGGGAGGGTGAATACTGGGCTAGCAATATCCACTATACTGATTTAGTTGCTAGCGATCATATTTTTGAACATCAGGTTTATTGATATGTGATTTGTATACAATAAAATATCCTTTTAAAATGCAAAAATACATGTGTCTGAGACCAGTTTTCCTGGTCTGAAATCTCTGCTCCCTTATGCACTCTGCAGAATTCAGGGGACAAGTTCCAAATCATGCCATATGTCTACTCACTCACAAATAAAGCTCCTTCGTTTTCCCAGGATGAAAGCCAGTGTTATTTGGAAGAGGCCTAGGCACAGTGTGCTAGAAAGGTTTTCCTCACTCAAGACATACTTGCAGGTGTGGATCGATCTCAAATATGGTCTCTCCCCTCCGCATGTCAGTTATCAGCCAGGGGCCGCCAGCGCTGTGGATAAAGAAAGGGGGCAGGAGGGTCTGGGCTGGGCCTACAGCCTGCCCTGCTTGCTGCCCCAGGCCCAGAACACAAGGGAGTGGTCAGTGGTCGGGGCCATCAGGGAGCGAGTTGTCAGGAAGCCCTGATGTGAAAAGCCAGTGCCTGAACAGCCATGTAAGGGGAAGCCCACATGTGGGGGAAGAAGGGGGTCCCGCCCCAGGCCTGGGAAGCCAGGCACCCACCTCATAGGGAGGGGCTGTACTCACACGGGCACCATCCGCAGCAGCTCCAGGATACCCTGCCCATTCCACTGCTGGGCTGCATGGAGTTCCTCAGTGCAGACACCAACAATCTGGGACCCAGAGACAAGATGCCATAGTGTGTTAATGGCTATTCCTCCCACCCATCCAGAAGGTCAGCCACCCAGACTCTGTCAGTGTCACTTCAAGTGATGGGACTACAGGCAGCATCTGTGCTCAGAGGCTAGTGCATCCAAAATGGGATGGTTCCCTCAGGAGGAAATAGTTGCCTGGCCAGGATATGGATGGGTCCACAGATGTGGCACTGATGGCTGATTCTTGCCCTGCTGTGATAGGCCGGGCATCTGGTGACACAAAGTCAAGTCCTTGACTGCAGAGAAATCAGGGCCCTGCCAACTCAGGATGTCCCTAGAAGTAGTGGAGGTTCTGCCCAATCTAGGATCATGGGGAATGTAATAGGAGATTTTGAAACTCTTCAAGCTCGAAACAACAACCAAAGGGCCCAGCAGATGGCAGAAGAGCTCCCTTCGGCTAAGCCTTTGGTCAATCTCAAGAGAAACAACTGAATCTTCACGCAGACCCATCAGGATCACGATCACAGAGCCCTCTGCAGCTGGGGGGATGCATCCACCAAAGCTGCATTCCTGCTGGGAGTTACTGTGCCTGTGGCTGCCTGGCCAGTTCACAGAAATACCCTCCCCGTTACCCGCCTCTGCTACAACCAGCCTCTCCTACCCAAATGACCCCTTCCCTTTCCCCCTTCTCCCCTCTCAGCAGGTTAAATCAGACCCTCTGAATCGACCTGATAAACAGATGGAGGAGAAAATGGGGAAAGAACAAGGAAATCTCCCGTTCCTTTCACTCTCTCCACCCAAGCCCTCCTGCCCTCCCAGGACTTTTCCCACAGGGAAGGCTCGCGCCCATGTCCAACCTGTGCCTCACCTGGAGGAAGGTAACTACCCCAAAGGGTGTCTGCACAGGTTGCATCTGCGGGTCCTCTGTCAGCAGCATGTGCTGAATTCTTGACTCGCTGTTATCCAAAGGGCTGTGCCAAGACACGTGATCCCCACTGCAGAAGGTGTTCTCTGTGGGAGAGACAGGAGAATCCTCGGTGTTTGAGGCCCTGCATCCAGGCCCAGAACTCAGCCTGGGATCTGAGAAGCCCAGGCTGGAAGGCCCCCCCAGGCTTCCAAGGTAGTCCCTGTGAAGGAGGGGAAGCATCCACACAGGTGAGAGCAGAGTCTGAATGTCTCCCTCAAGCCAATGCACTCCTACTGGCCGGTTCGGCCAGCCTTCCACAGAAAGGACAGGCTGCTAGTGTGCATGCTCACTTGGCCTGCAAGTCCAAAGCCAGAATTCTGGCATCTGCTCCACTTCCCCAGCACCTTCACTTCTTGGGGTGGGGTCGGGGGGCAGTCATGATTGGACCTACCAAGAAAGAATAAAGTGTTTTATTGTGGGGCCACCTTAATAGGGAGACTGGAGGGCAGTGAAAGCCTTTCACCTTGGACAAACAGAACAGGGTTTATGTGCTGCTGAAACTGCTCAAAAGAGAACACCTCACTTTGCAGGGCCTTTGAGATCTGTCAGCAGTTTTCCCCAGGAAGACAGATTTAGGGAACAGTTCCTCAGGGAGGTGCACTGGAGACCAACAAAAGTCTGAATTGTGCCCCACACACCGTGGCAGAGACATAGACTTGGGGGCCGGGGGCTGTTTCCATGAGGACATAGATATTGTGCCCAGGCTGCCCAACAGAAACATGTGCAAACACAGCCACCTCATAGCCTTACCACTGAACTGCACACAAATCCATTACTCAAAAAAGTTTAAGGCAGCATAACCACAAGGGAAAAACCACCTACGCGGTATGAAGTCTCCACTACCCCTGACTTTTATCTTGGGTGCCCTTCAAAGGAACTCTGCATTTACCAGCCTGTATGCATCTATAGGTTCTCTCTATCTTGTTTCTTCTAAGACATATGCAGCACCATTTTGTACGTTACATATACCTTGGAATCATTTCACATCAGCACAGAGAAAGCTACCTTATTCTTTAAATGGCTGTATGGCAGTTCACCGTGGTCTATCACATATAATCTAGGGGTCTCAACAGCTGAGGTCCTTTCACTTTTTATCAATATTTGAAGCAAGGCAGAAAACACAGACAGACAGACACACACACACACACACACACACACACCAGCCTGAAGGCCTGAGAGCACATCTGCTCTCATTTGTCTTGGTCTAAATACTCCCTCCTGTGTCAGGTGAAGTGTACACCACTTTTTCTAAGAGACAGGCTTGGGTTATTGGTCCTAACCTCAAAAACATTCATTCAGGGGGGAGAAGAAAGACTTCTTCCTCTAAGAGACATGAAATAATAAAGGGGAGAGAGGGCCTGGCTCCAGGCAGAGCCAACTACAAACCCCTCTTTCTGGACTCACTCTTCCCAGATTTCCTCTCCTTTACAGAAGTGCATGTCTATAAGTATCTACAAGTTAGAAACAATGTCACAAGTAAACAGACTGAATTAGTAATTAAAAGCTTCCTCCACAATTAAAGGGTTCAGGTCCAGATGGCTTCACTGGTAAATTCTACCAAACATTCAGAGAAGAATTAATAGTAACACTTCACAATTAATTCTATGAGGCCAATCATAGAATTAATTTACCCTGATACCAAAATCAGACAAAAGCACCACAAGCAAAGAAAGCCATAAATCAATAGCCCTGATGCATAGTCCTCAAGACTTGAGACACAAAGTCCTCAAGAAAATACAGGCAAACTGGACACAGCAACATACGAAAGGGTTATATACAACGACCAAGTGAGATTTAACCCAAAAATATAAGGTTGGTGTAGAAGTAACATAAGAAAATAAATGTAATATTGATATAGTATGTCAACAGACTAAAGGTTTAAAAAAACACATAATCATCTCAGTAGACACAGAAAAAGCATTCAGCAAAATCCAATACTCTTTCATGATAAAAACACTCAAACTAGGAATAGATGGGAACTTCCTCAATCTGTTAAAGGGCATCTACAAAAAAACCTACAGCTAACATCATACTTGATGGTGAAAGACTGAATTATTTCCCTCTAAGATCAGGAACAAGACAAAGATTCCCACTCTTACCACTTCTATTCAACACTGTACTTCATGAACCTTAGAAACATTACACTAACTGAAAGAAGCCAGTCCCCAAAGGCCATATATGATGCCATTTACATGGAATCTCCAGAACAGGCACATCTACATACACAGATAGATTAGTGGTTGCTAGGGGGGGATGGGGAGTGACTGGTATGAGTTTACTTTTGGGGGTGATGCAAATGTTCTAGGGTTCATTGTGGTGATGGTTTCACAACAATGAATAACATGGTATGTGAATTATATCTCAATAAAGATGTTAAGAAGAAAGAAAGAAGGCAAAAGGAAAGAACCTGGGGGAGAGGCAAAGTGTGTGAAGCCAGGCCAAGGCCCTGGATTCCTTGTCACCACCTCCTCAGGGTAAGCAGCCCAGCCTGGGAGAGGCCTCACTCATAATGCCCAGACATCACACACATTATAGCTCTATGTGACCCGAACGATCACAGTCCAACGTTTTCATTTTCTACAAATGAAGAAAGGACCCTCGAGACTGCCCAAGGTCATGGGGCAAGTCAGTGACGATAGAGCACAGTGAAACATTTCCCAAACTTCTGAGTCAGCGGTTCTCAACCTGTGGGTCGCGACCCCTTTGGGGGTCAAATGACCCTTTCACAGGGGTCGCCTAAGACCATCGGAAAACACATATATAATTACATATTGTTTTTGTGATTAATCACTACACTTTAATTATGTTCAATTTGTAACAATGAAAATACATCCTGCATATCAGATATTTACATGACAATTCATAACAGTAGCAAAATTACAGTTATGAAGTAGCAACGAAAATAATTTTATGGTTGGGGGTCACCACAACATGAGGAATTGTATTAAAGGGTCGCGGCATTAGGAAGGTTGAGAACCACTGTTCTGAGTCATCCGTAACACTGTCAGGATTTTTAACATATATCTGCATACCACCTGTACTATTACCTACCTGTCTCCCCACCCCGTAAAATTGACTCACTTTAAAAACCTAAACAAACTTACTTTAAATAGAAATCTCCTATCACAACACTAAATAGGGAAAATCAGTGTTGCTCACTGTAAAGTAGATGACTTCAAAATGACTGAATGAAAATAAAATATTTTAAATCTCTAACAGATACTGTTGCTTACCTAACCTTGTTAAAACTGAAATGATCAAGGATTAAAGAGCTGTTAAGAATTAAAGAGTGAGTCATATCAAACTGACAAAAACAGCAGGGCTGAGTCAGAGCTCTGAAGAGGAAAGAGAGTCCTCACTATTCATGTTACTGAATGCCTTGTCCAGTTACCATCTAAATCTCCTGCTGGCTTTGGCAAATCATGGCATCATGGTTAATTTTGCAGTTGGGAAAGCCCTGTTGCTATTTGCCTCTGCCCCTTACTAGTTGTGACCCTGGGCAACTTCTAAGCCTGTTCCCTCATCTGTAAGCAGGAAATAGTGCGCCCACTTGGAGTGCTCTCCACTGCTGCATGTATGACTCTACTCCTGTCCTGGAATACAGCGCAGCTACTCCCACCCAGGTCCCGTTCCTTTACCAGGAAGCAGGACCAGCCACAGAGCCTGTCGCTAACAACAATTGCCAGTAGGTGGCACCATCACTCCTGATTTAAGAAAGCTGGGCCAAAAAAAAAAAGAAAGAAAAGAAAGCTGGGCCAGTTCCCTCCAATGCTTCTGGTCTAGCTGACTTCTGGTCTGTAGAAATATACCCCAAACCTGAAAGGTTCTTAGACTGGAAATAGGGAAAGGACTGGAAAGGTTTGAAGCCATGACCTTTTATGAACCAGAATCGACATTTATAAATGTTGCCCTAACCAGTTTGGCTCAGCGGATAGAGCGTTGGCCTGCGGACTGAAGGGTCCCAGGTTCGATTCCGGTCGAGGGCATGTACCTTGGTTGTGGGCACATCCCCAGTACGGAATGTGCAGGAGGCAGCTGATCGATGTTTCTCTCTCATTGATGTTTCTAATTTTCTACCCCTCTCCCCGCTCTCTGTAAAAAATCAATAAAATACATTTTTTTAAAAAATAAAAATAAATGTTGTCCAAACCTAAACTATTTAAATGAAGAATGACTAAACGGTACACTTAATTTGGGAAGGAGTGCAAGTTAGGCAGCTGGGAGAGGAGGCTGTAAAGCAGGGAAGGGAAACAGACCCAGTTGCTGTTCTAGGACCAACACACCTCCCTGGCGTGTGTGATCAAGCTCTGGCAAAATGTACTAGTGAGTTAAAGGAGGGCAGGTGAGGAGAAAGCATAACCACACACAGAAAGGTTTACAGAGCAGGAGGGGAACAACCTTCTAGCCGGGGACAGGGTTTTCTTCCCTAGCCCTGCCTGATGGGAGAACTAGCTGTATTAGCTCTGCTGTGGCCAAGAAACAGCCTTTCTTAACAATGAAAGAGCCTTGGTCACAGTTTTCAAGCTTGGGACAAAGCCACAAAGGGCTCATTCTTGAGTCTGCTCTGGTCTTTATTTCTGGATGCTCAGCCCCATTCTGTGTGGAGCCACGGTGGGTCTCAGCACTCAGGCCCCAGCGCTCACCCCAGGAAGCTCTCAGCCCCCTTGAGAGGGTTTTCAAATGCTAATGCGGCCTCAGTCAGAGGCCCAGCTGTTCCGTCCAGTGGTTAGAGAGCTCCTCCCCCTCCCTTCCTCTCGGGCTGCCTGAGTACCCTAACCAAGAAATTAGGATGCAAATCTCTGGGACCCCTCCCCACACCACGCAGCAGAGGGGCTCTCTGGGATCCGAAGGCAGGCCATCTCCCTCTTCCTCTGAGCTCCGGCCCAAGTACCATGAGAAACCTCCCTCAGCTGCTGCCTGTTTGGCAAATTCACCAGAGGGGAACTACCACCTTAGGGTGGCAAAAAGGGTCCAGAAACTTCCAGGTACAGTTCTGCCCTTGCTTCATTGACAGAAAGGTTTTGTTACTCTATGTTTCTATCCC